GTGGGCCAGGGCTCGTGCCCCGTCTCCCATCTCCCGCCCCTCGCCGCGCCCACTCACTGGTCCAGAAGTAGCTGTAGGTGCCCACCAGGCCCATGACGACGCTGCTGGCCAGGCTCCAGGCCAGCGGCGGCGCCGTGGGGAACGGCCACCGCACGTGCAGGGGCATGGCCGGCGGCCGTTCGCCAACGCGGCCCAAGTCACTTCACTGCCGGGCAAGCCCGGCCCGCCCCTCCAGCCACCTAGCGGCCGCACGGAACACAAGGAGCAACAGCCCGCCCACCTCAAACCCGCTGCCTCGGCGCGCTGGCTCCCGTCGCAAAACGCGCGCCTCAGCTTGACGGCAGAGGGGGCGGGGCCGGGCGAGAGGCCACGCCCCCCGTTGCCGTCGGGCCTACCCCAGCACTCCCCAGCAAGTCTCGCGAGCGGCCGGACTGCGCAGGCGCAGACCGGGGGGCGGGGCTGGCGGAGCGCCTGGACTGCGTTACTTTGTGCTTTTGACTGAGCTGAAACCTAGCGCTTGAGGTTCACCTCGCTACAGTAAAGGAAATGAAGTTGCCATGTGTCCGACTCGGGACCCAGTGTCGTGTCGTCTACATTCTCTTCACCCTCAAGGAACCCGCCAAACCCCGGCCTTCGGCCGTGTTGGGACTCCGGGTGACCCACGTAGAGTGAAGCTGCAGTTCTCGACTCAGGTGTCCTTAGTCTGTCTACCGGCACCTTGTTCCTGGGCAGGGCTCAGAAAAGATCCCATGCTGTGGGTGGGCCCCCAAGGGGCGGAATGGTTATGCATTGGGCTGCTTCCCGCCAGATCAGCAGTTGGAACCCACCAGCGGGAAAAAGGCCAGGCTTTTCTTCTCAAAGAGCTACAGACTCAAAACCCGCTTCAAAACCCACGCAAGCGGTTCTACTCTGTCCCACAGGGTTGCTAGAAGCCAAAACCGACTCGTTAGCCGTGAACTTGAGTTTTTTGGGGTAGATCACATTGTCTTTTTCCATTTGTCCGTTCACGGACAGAGGACTGCCTTGTAGACTGCTATACACATTTCTTTCTCCCTCTCTTTTTTTTGAACTATTTCTTCTTTTTAAGCACTATTTCATTGGATTACATTTTAGACACGACAACCATCCTCTGCGGGGACCTGGTCGCATCCTCCCTAGAGTCCCGGTGTGCATACAGTCCCTTCAGGATCTCAAACTGTAGTCAGCGCCCAGGCCTGGAGTTGGACACTTGAGGAGCCACGCCCTACGCTGAGCCGACAGCCACACCCGCTGGGGCCCAGCGCTGGCAACTGTCTGGCCTCTGGACGGATGGGGGCGGGAGGAGGGGGGCTCCCTTGTCTTCCTCAGCAGATGCTGCTGGGGGGGCCCCGGGGAGCTGGCTCTTGGTTTTCATTCAGGTAACCAATCATTACTGGACTGCTCCTGCTAGGCACTGGCGTTGGCAGGCCAGTCACTCTCCAGTGACTCAGAGATCAGTCATCTCTCAACAGCCTGGCCTGAGAAGAGTGGAGGGCGGGGCGACCTTTCCCAGTTCAGCGCCCGCCTCCTTGGGGAGGGTGGAGGGAAACCTCTTCTTCCTCTTTACTTCCTTCCTCGTCCTTGTCCCGGCAGGCAAGCAGGCAGGCAGGCAGGTGGGCGCGGTGAGGCCTTGGGCTGTCACTGGTCTGTACCAGTGTGGGGGTCCTTGGGTTGAGGGAAGAAGCTGCTCCCTGACCTGGGAAGGGCAGAGGCAGGAATGGAAGCCCTGGACTGGAACCCAGGCCAGCTTGGGGAGCATGGGCTGGGTATGGGGCTGAAGCCCGAAAGTCATTTGTCCAGAGTCCTTCTGGGGTTCCAGAGCCCTGCGCCTCCTGCTGCCAGTGCTAGCATGGAGCTGGACCAGGGCAGGGTGCCAGGCTGAGCAGGAGTGGCAGAGGACAGGTGGCCAGGAGGATGGCAGTGACAGCAGGGCCCGAGCAGAGCAGAGAGGGTGAGCCCCTGAGTGGCAGAAAGCGAGGAAGTGAGGGAAAAGGACATTGGCAGAGGGGGATGGTGACCAAGGGGAGTGGGAGAGGGGGGCAACCAAGGGGGTAGTGACCGAAGGAAGCCTAGAGACACACTGACACCAGGCAGGCTTGCGAGGAGGCCTGGATACAGTGATTCCACCTCGGGGCTTTGCTTAGAGGTCAAATCTCCAGAGAAGGGAGGTGGCTGCATCAAGATGCTTCCCACCCAACTGGGTGCAAGACCAAAGCTGAAAGCAGCACCCGCTCAAAGAGGCAGGGCTGGGACTGGGGGTGGGGGACAAACAGTGTCTTGGGGCAGGTGGCAGGGAGGCCACTTTCTCTGTGCCACCCCTGTCACTCCTGGAGCAGAAGGAGCCCTGTGGAGCCAGCAGCCATGCTCCGCCCCGTGGCACTTCTGCTCTTCCTCCTGGCTGGGGGGGCGCAGGCCTTTCGCATCTGCGCCTTCAACGCTCAGCGGCTGACCCTGGCCAAGGTGGCCAGGGAGCCTGTGATGGACACTTTGGTACAGGTAAGTGCCTCCTTGAGAAGAAGGGCCATCAGGATGCCGAGTGGCGCAGACTTGGAGCCATTGGCACTCAGTCTTCTCTCATTGGCTCCCTGGTATCTGGCAGATTCTGGCTCGCTGTGACATCATGGTGCTGCAGGAAGTAGTGGACTCCACTGGCAGTGCCATCCCACTCCTGCTTCGAGAACTCAACCGGTAAGGAGGGCACTGTGGGTAGAATTCTGGGTCCCTCAGGAGCCTTGGGGGTGGGGGCTGACTTGGCCTCTCCCTTCCTGTAGATATGATGCCTCCGGGCCCTACAGCTACCTCAGCAGCCCTTTGCTGGGCCGAAGCACGTACATGGAGAAGTATGTCTACATCTACCGGTGAGCGCAGGGCCAAGGAAGCGCCCACTAGTTGCCTTTTTCTCTCCTCTGTGTGGGGCCAAACTTCTAAAAGCACACCCAAGTCCTTGGGAAGACAAGGATCAAGAGGTGCTGGGGAGCTGGCTTCTCTGTAGACGAAATGATAGCCCATTGGCTTCGGAATAATGGGGAAACTGAGACCAACAAATCACAAAGGGAAAGCCATCCCAGCGACCTGCACATCAGCCTGAAATGCGAGACTGATGAGTGCTGAATGGGGCAGGACAAGGTGTTGTTCCTGGGGGGGTGGGAAGGTTCTGGCCTCAGGTCTGGGAAACCCCACCCCTTGGTCCTTACAGGTCGCACAGGACACAGGTCCTGGAGTCCTATGTGTACAACGACCAGGATGACCTCTTTGCGAGGGAACCCTTCATTGCCCAGTTCACCTTGCCCAGCAAGGGTAGGAGGGTCCAGGGGGCCTGGTGTGTGCTGTGGGCGGAGTAGGGCTGCTGGCCTGGGGGCTGGGTGTGGCTGGAGCCTCCCCCTCATGGGGTGCCTTCCAGTCTTGCCCAGCCTGGTTCTGGTCCCACTGCACACCACCCCAAAGGCTGTGGAGAAGGAGCTGAATGCCCTCTACCATGTGTTCCAAGACGTCTCCCAGCACTGGCAGAGTGAGGTAGAGCTGGGGCAGCAGGCGGGCAGCTCATTGGGGAGAGAGGTGGGTGGTGGCGGCGCATGGCACCTGGGCCAGGGGGCCCAGTGGCAGGTTTGACCCTTGCCCTGTCTCAGGAGGTGATCCTGCTGGGGGACTTCAACGCGGACTGCGGCTCATTGACCAAAAAGCGGCTGGAGGAACTGTTGCTGAGGACGGAGACGGGCTTTCTGTGGGTGATCCCAGATGGAGTGGATACCACAGTGCGGGCCAGCACCCACTGCGCCTATGACCGAATCGTGCTGCACGGGCCTCGCTGCCAAGGCCTGCTTCAGACCGCCTCAGCCTTTGAATTCCCCCGCAGCTTCCAGCTCAGCGAGGAGCAGGTGGGCTCCAGGCTCGGCTGGGCGGCAGTGGGGAGATCAAGGCAGAGTCCTTGGGCATAAGGCACCAACCTTTGTCTCACCTCATGTCCAGGCCCTGAACATTAGCGACCACTACCCGGTGGAGGTGGAGCTCAGAGGGGCAGCGCCAAGGGAGCAGCCTCTCTGCCTGGTGGTCCTGCTGCTGGCGTCCCTGCTGCTGGTCCCTGCCGCCTGACCTGCCCTCCCAGCAGTGACTCCTTCATAGAACAGCAGCACGATCATCTGCCTGGTATTAGACTAAACCCTACGGGTGGTGTCAGGAGAGGGTACAAAGTAGCCCATGGGAAGCTGGGGAAGGGGAGAGGGCTCAGCCAAGACAATGACCAGCGATCCCAAGATCTTATTCTATGAAAAAAAGTTTTGATCTATAAAGGAATACTTCCCTGGGCTCATGGGAGGGATATCCCTTTGGGTGGCAGCTAGGCCAAAGGCTCATTCATGCCTGACCTATTCATCAGTAGAACAATGCTAAGATCCCAAGATGCCAGCTAACCAATAAGTCACATCTCAGGTGTGAACCTAGATGCGAGGAAGGGTGCACCTAAATCTACCTGGCCTCCACCCCACATTCCCAGGAGCTGGGGTGTCTTCAGAACCCATGCCATGCAGCGTTGGGGTCAGGCGACCCTGCAGGAAAAGGATTGGGTCCTTTATAGAGTTAATTTGTGGTTGTTGTAACCATGAGAACAAAAATAAAGGTAATTAAAATTTCAGTTGTGCCTGGGATTGGTGTGCGCGTGCATTTGCACAGGCATTGGGGGAACAGGACACTGGTGGCCTGTGGGGAAGGGATTCAAGACCAGGTGAGGACAGGAAGCATGGGATCTGGCACTCCCAACTAGGACTTAACAGATCCTTGCAGGATGGTTCCTGCCAGAGGGGTAGACACATGGCACTGCAGCCAAACTCAATCATGATTACCAGCTGTGGGCCCAGCCAGGACAGGACCAGGGCTTTCAGAGGAAATGCCTCCCTGCAGGTCCCCTGGAGGGCTATCTCCTGTGAGTAGGCACTTATCAAGCTAGTGGGGCAGAATACCCAAGGGCCTTCCCACTCAGCATCATTCACCCCCTAGTAGGAAATCCAGAGCCAAGAAAACCAGGAAGTTCAATTTTTATTTGTTGGGTACAAGTGAGGCAGCACAGGGCTACCAAGGCCTTCATGAATGCAGAGCCCGCCACTTGTCCAAGGGGCCACGGTCAGGGATGTATTTGACCCCACAGCCATCCGGGATGAGGCGCTTCTCAGCCACCATATCCTCAAACTCATCAGCATTAAACTTGGTGAAGCCCCACTTCTTGGAGATGTGGATCTAAGGAGAGAGAAGAACATTAGACAGGAAGGTGAAGCAGGGGCAAGGCAGGTCAAGAGATAAAGGGATGGCTGTATGGCTCACCTTCTGGCGCCCAGGGAACTTGAACTTGGCTCTGCGTAAGGCCTCAATCACATGCTCCTTGTTTTGAAGCTTGGTGCGGATGGACATGATAACCTGGCCAATGTGGACTCTAGCCACCGTGCCTTAAGGTTTCCCAAAAGCACCTCGCATCCCAGTTTGGAGCCTAGTTTAGGGAGAGCAGAAATTAGCCAGGCCAGAGGCATTGAAAAGCAGCAAAAGGTTGTCTCCAAGGTCCCTTAGGGCAGCCTATACATAACAATAGGCTGCATACACTACCGAGGAGGCTTGCTGTTTGCAGCCATTGCACACCGGCCCCCACAAGGAGGACGGTCGGCTTAATTGGCTGCAGAGAACAAAACACCCCAAAGCTACCCAGAAGACCCACAAATTTCCCAGCTGAGAGAGAAACCCTGCCCCCCTCCTTGCTTCTGCTCAGGTGTGGCTTGGGTCAGCTGAAGCCAGTCACTGTCTGCAGCAGGGCTGGGCCATGGAAAATAGCTAGGAGGGGTACCCTACACTGAGCTGCCCTGTGCCCCCAACACAGGGCCTCGCACACCTGTCAGCCCCAGCGCATGATAACATCTTGTTGATGCGGATGACGTGGAAGGGGTGGAGCCGCACTCGGATGTGGAAGCCATCTTTGCCACAGCTTTTCACCATGTACTTGTTAGCACAGATGCGGGCAGCCTCCAGGGCTAAACAAGAAAGGAGACAGGATTGCATCTCAGAAACTGAGCTCCCTAAGCACAGGCCTCGGAGGGGCTGCCCTCCAGCAAACCCAAGGTCACTTCAGGGGCAGCAGAGTGCAGCTGTTAATTCTCTTGAGGGGCTCCGGGTGGAACAAGAAGGAATTGCCTCACCTTCAGAAGAGAGCTGCTCATACTCATCCGACACCATGTGGCCACACAGTGGGAATTCATCCACCTTGGCCTTCTTTCGGCCCAGGTCAAAAATGCGAATCTTGGCATCTGAAAAAGGGCAGCTAAGTGTGTGCGGCGCCCTGGGCAACTTCACATGGCCAAGCCAATTTGAGGGCACTCGTACTACTTACCAGGGACACCTCGACAGAAGCGGGACTTTGGGTAGGGCTTGTTCTTACAATACCGGTAACTGCAAGAGGGGGGAGAAACCCAAGTTTAAAAGTGCTTTTCCCCAGCGCTGGAGACCGAAAGCAGGGCCCTGGGGATGTTAGAAATGCAAAGCCAATCGGCCTTTCACCCTACCTAGGCCTAGCTCTCTTCCTGGAGACCAAATTGCACTAGGCGCTACAAAGTAGCCACACACGGCCAAGCCTAGGTCCCCTGAACAACGTGGGGTTACCACGGCGCCCTCTGCAGGGCATAGGAGGAGGCCGCACAGGCCTAGCGGCTGCCCATGGCGGACGACCGCGCTGAAATAAGGATATCCCACACAAAGACTCTAAGAGGAATCGGGCTGAAAAGAGGGCGAATCCGAAGTACTGGAAAGACAGCTGCTGGCCAAGCACCCCAATAACTAGGCGGGGGGAGGGGGGGGAAGCCGACAGCAGCATGGAACTTAGATGGGAATGAAGCGCTGAGCACAATCGAAGCCCGAGACGATCTCAGTGGCTGGGGGGAAACGTGGGGTTCCTTCCCGGGCAAGTCAGTTCCACTAATTAGCCTCCGCCCTCGACACAATGTTGGTAGTGGCGGAAGTGGGGGGGGGGCGGGGGTGTTCAGCGGCTAGTACAATTCACTCTGCCCAACTAGAGAAATGCTGAGAATCGGCTACTCACCATCGGGCAGGGCGGCGGCCCATGGCGACACCAGGATCAAGGTGGCTGCAACAAAACAGATGATAAAGTCAGGCGACAAGGGTAGGCCCAGGCCAGAGGACGAGGACAGCGAGCACACAACGAATCACACTCACCACGCTGAAGGAAAAGAGAAGCTCCCAGGCCTGCGCACGACTTATATAGTCCGCCCATCTTCTGCGCAAGTACCATAGAGTTCCGATCGAGGGCGTAGGGACGCTCTTTCACTACGTTGCGACCATAGACAAAGCAGCGCTGTGCGCCTGCGTGTGCCTAGAGAGGCACTTGCGCACAACTCCTGGGTGGTTAGCTGTGGAGGCCCAGCGGGTGGCAAGGGAACGAATCAGGCTTTGCCCCAAGGGCGTGGGCAGCCTGCGTCGCGCAGGCGGGATTGGGAACTGATTTTTTGCCCCGGCTGGACCTTCTTTATGAAAGAACTATGGTGAAGATGAGGGACGGTCCCCTGGGTGGGCTTGGAACAGCTAAGCCTGGATTTCCCAGAGTACGGGGCCCAGGCCACACTCCGCCCCCGGGTCATTCCTGGGGCGGGGACTCGCCGGGCCCGCGACTACGCCGCTAGCCTTTGTCCCAGAAGACTTGGAGGCCCGCCCCCCAGCCTAGCAAGAGTCCGCCCGCGCTTTGCCCCGAGCGCTGCGCATAGCTGAGGGGCTGTGCCGGAGCCGGACAGTTCCCGCGCCGCGGGCAGCCGGGACCCCTGTCCCCACCGTGGCCCTCTCCCATGGTG